CATATATATATAAAATAGATAAGCCCCTTAAAATGGAGCAGTGAGTCACAAACATGTCACCAACTTACTGCAGAGGTTAAGGGTCTACTTTGGAAGAGTTATGCCAAAATTGGTAAAAAAGGACTAGAAATAGCAGGAGCACATAAAAAAAAGGTTATTTTTCATTAAGATAGACCTCGAGTAGCCTCATACAGTGATGAAAATTTGTTCCTCTTAGGAGCAACAAGTGAAACAGTCTAAGTGACAAAAAGCAAATATTATCCCCACTTTTAGGTCGATCCCTATGGGGAAACTTTAAACCAAACAGCTCTGCTGGGCTAGAGAGATTATGCTGGGCTGGGGACCTGTACTCCATTTGTCATTTGAACATAGCACCTAGGAAGACAACTAGGACATCAAGAAGGCATCAGGTGAAAGGAGAGAGAGAGAGAGAAGGAAAACGGGATAGAAAAAATTAATCAGCAGAAGCAGGAAGGAGGATAGAAAGTGTACAGGAATCAGATGAAAGAGGAGAAAAGGAGGAAGAGCTCTTGGAATTATGTTGAGAAGTTCTTTTTACCATTGACTGTCAGGGCAGCTGTAGTCTGTTGATCTCCACACACACAGCTGTAATCACCAGCATCTGCCAAATCCAGATCCCGGATCACCAGCTCCACAAAGGGACCTTCCTGCTCTATTTGGTATTTTTCACTTGGCTTCAGGACCTTATTCCCCTTTCTCCACTCGACAGGGGCTGGTTTGCTCAGTTTACAGTGCAAAGTGACTGCCTCTCCCTCTGTAGCTTCCTTGTTCAACATTTCTTCTTGGAAGAGGATGGGCAAGGCTGAGGGATGCAATGTCAACAGAGAAGGAATCAGCACGAGATCAAAATCCCTGGAGAAATTCCAGATCCAGATCCAAGATCCAGATCAAAATTCCCTGGGGACATTCAAGGTCAGGCTGGATGAGGCTCTGAGTAGCTTGATCTAGTTGGAGATGTCCCTGCTTATGGCAGGGGGTTGGACTAGATGCCCTTTGGAGGTCCTTCCAGCCCAGATGTTCTATGATTCTATGAAATGAACTGGACTCTGTTGTGAGTTACTGGGCTGCAGTGTATACATTTAACCAAAAATGCCCTGCTGCTGGGTGGAGACAGTTGGAAGGGGGGTAAAACCTCCTGGAGAGAAATAAATGAAAGAAAATGCTCCACAACATCACCGTGCTGTCTCAAAGCGAAAAAAGCACCAGGGGATATTCTCTAACAGGGTGACTCTTTGGCACCACAGAGCAAGAAGGTGAAACCTGTGAGAAACCACACTGACCACGCTTGGGATGAGCAGCAAACATCAAAACTGTCCAACCTCCCAAACACGCTCAATTCGGGGCTTAAACAGGAGTAGGACGGTTACCGTTCACTTTCAAAGCAGCCGTCGTCTCCTGGTCTCCACAGACACAGGTATAGCTCCCAGCATCCCTCAAGTCAAGGTCTTGGATGATGAGCTGAAGGAAACACCCCTCCTGCCTCATCCTGTACTTGCTGCCTGGCAGCAGCTGGGTCCCGTCCTTGCTCCAGCGCACGCAGCCCGCGGGGTGGCTCAGCTCGCACTGCAGCGTGGCCGTCCCGCTCTCCGTCCCCTCCTCGTTCCTCAGCTCTTGTTTGAAACGGATGGGCAGGGCTGAGAGGTGCAGAAGGAAAAGGGGTTGCAGCTGAAAGCCCTGCCCTAGATATCTCGGGACTTATCGTAGGGCTTCGTGAGGTTTAGTCCCACACCCTGATCTTTAAACTCGTCCTTGGTTGGTTTTTTATGCGGCTGGGAACAAAAAGCTCTAGTGGATTGTTCTGTGGGAATCAGAGGAGGTGTGATCTTGATTGGGATCATGCAAACGAGTGGCAAACTCATCCTCATCGTTAGAGGTGATGGACCCACCGTAACAGAAAAGCCCAAGGAATCTGGTTTCCAAATCAGGAAAACACACATGCAGCTCAGCACCCTTCCCTTGAGGAGAGGTGAGAAGGCAAGACAGCACACAAACACAGCACTGGGCACAATGAGAGCTGGCCATGGATGGAGACTGGGGAAAGGGGCCACATGGCAACGAGTGGAAGGGTGAAACAAGCAGAAGTGGGACACAAGGTCAGTGTTGTGAGCGAGCACACAGGAGGTGGGAAGAGATGGACAAAAACATTCCAGAGTTTCACGGGTTATTTCTGACTTTTTACCATTCACTGATAAGGCTGCTGTGGTTTTTTGGTTCCCCACTACACATGTATAATCTCCAGCATCCTTTGGTTCCAGATCCTGGATCAGCAGCTCAGCCACTGTGCCCTCCTGCCTCATCCTGTACTTGTTACTTGGCCGGAGAAGAGCGTGCCCCTTCCTCCACTCCACGGGGGCCTCTCTGCTCAGCTGGCATCGCAGGGTGGCCGCCCCACCTTCCACAGCTTCCACGTTCTTCAGCTCCTCCTTGATGAGCACCGAGGCAGCTGAGGAATGAAGCGTTCTCATTTTACTCTCCTAGCATCGTTAGCCACTGGTGACCTCGTATGGGACTTCAAAACAAATGCTCTTGGCACAGCTAATAAGCTCTCACCTACCTGCACTTCCAAGACTCTACTGCCATTTACAAAAGCACACCATGAGTTTGGGAGGAAATAACAACAAAATCATGATTGCCCAATAATTACAATATCCAGGTGATTACCCTTCTGCTGCCCAAACGCTGGTGGGCACAGACGAGTGGAGAAGTTGCTGAGAAAGTGCAGAAGAGAACTGTTCATTCTGTAACAAAACGTGAGGGTGAGGCCCTTCTTACCTTCCAGCACCTGTCCAGAGCATGAAGCATCAGAGCTATTTCAGAAGCAAGGAAAGATATGTTATTATGAGGTATTTTTAATTGCTACCTTTTAGCCTGAAGTCCTAGAAAACAGAGAACACAATAGACCCAGCCAGAGCTGCCTTTTGGTTGTACCAATCCCTTTTTTCCCCTGAATTCTCACTATAAATCTGCAGGAAACAGCAGGACCATGGCAAGAACAACAACAAATGGTCATATGTTATCATCAGGTATTTTTAATTGTTACATTATTTAGCCTGAAGTCCTTGAAAACAGAGAACAGAATAGACCCAGCCAGAGCTGCCTTTTAGTTGTACCAATCCCTTTTTTCCCTGAATTCTCACTATAAATCTGCAGGAAACAGCAGGACCATGGCAAGAACAACAACAAATGGTCACAAGCAGGTGTCTTATTCCTACCATGGATTTTGACTTGGGCTGTGGTCTGCTGGTCTCCAGTGTCACAGGTGTATCTTCCCGCATCTTCTGGCTCTGCATTATGAATCACCAGCTCTGCCACTGTCCCCTTCTGCTTCATTTCATATTTGGCACTTGCCTGGAGCGTGGCTTCTCCTTTTTTCCACACCACGGTGGCATCAGCTTTTGTGAGCTCGCAGCGCAGGGAGACAGATTTCCCCTCCTCCATGGTCGTGTTCTCCAGGGCTTGCTTGAAAAGGACAGGCACGGCTAGAACACAGAACCAAGGACTTTTAGGACATGCCTTCTTGACCTGCTGTACACGTGCCCCATGAGAGCTGCCACCTCTTAAAACCAAAGAGCAGAGCAGCCCTGGTCTCCTTTGGCATCAGAGTGATTCTGCTCCGGAGCAGGAGGAAACTTCTCCCCCAGATTTTATCATCACACTCTGCATTCCTAGAGAATTTTCTCTCATCTTTCATAAGGACCTCCTCAAAGTCCTCCAGGCACCCAAATTCCCTGCTCCTGCAGGGCTCTGGGACATTATTCACGCCTTATATCTCTCTTGCTGCTACTTGTGCTGTACTACTAAAGGCATTGTATTTGTTTAAGGGCATTGGGGAGTGCAGGTGGCATCTGAGAGCCTTTAAAAAGGATGTTTGGGGGAGTTTGGGGGTCTAAACATTAATCAGTTGGCCACTTGCAATTTGCCAGGGGCTGGATTTGTGTTTCCATGTTCCTGGTGTCCATCTCTAACTCCAGTCTTAGTCATATAAAATAGCTGATGGGTCAGGAACTATGGAACAGAGAAAACAAATCCTCTACACTAATTTAGGGTGGGTTTTTTTGCCCAGGGGAAAGTTACAGATTTAAAATCCCAGATGCAAAATGTGAGATTACAGGAATGAAATATATACAGGTGCTTACCAGTATGCAACATTACCTTTCATTTCCACCTCTGAATTTATAGATGGAACTGCCACAGTGCTGTGGGGGGGTTTCTTTTAATAGAAATTCTATTAAGCAACCCATGAAGAAAGAGTGGGACTATATCCAGCTCTGCCTACCATTTACTTTCACCCGAGCAGTGGTCTTCAGTTCCCCAGCAGTGCAGGTGTAGTCCCCAGCATCTAGGGGTTGGACATCTCGAATAATGAGCTCTGCCACTGTCCCGTGCTGCTGGAACTCATACTTCTCACTGGCACAGAGAACAGTGTCTCCCTTCATCCACTTCACCAGGGTACCAGGTTTGCTGAGCTCACAGCTCAGCTTGACTTGTCTTCCTTCTTTAGCTTCTTCATTCTGGAGCTCTTTCTTGAATAGAACTGGTGCTTCTGAAAAAGAACATTGTGAAGGTTTAAGGAACCACGTGGATTGGAAATCACTTTTCCCTGTTTTGTTGCAGAGATAGGAAACCACAGGAATGGAGAAGCACTAGCAAACAGTGATCCTGACAACTCACTTCTGCTGCCAGCATGCAAAAAATATGTGAAACCATCTGATTATTTTCCTTTTAACCAATATCTGTACTTTTGGAGACATTTCTACTAGCACTGTTATTAACATTAGTGGCAGATGCTGCACTGCTACTAATGGCAGAAGACAACGTGTTGCAGATGGATGCTCAGAGCTGGACCACTGGCACAAAACACATAAAAACCTCCCTGAGGTCAACTCGCACATCACACAGAGGACACAGAAATGGCAAAGCACTTTCTGCCATGACCAGCACTATTGATTTCTCAAATAAACTCCCTCCCCCAGTGTATTTTTAGCCAACAGGAAGAGAGCCTTGAAGCCAGCACAGAGAGGAAAGCACAGCTCTGCATGAAAGGAGCCCTGGGGAGATTCCTGTGTGGGCTCTGCCACACACTGGGATTCAAAGCTTTGAGGTGAGCTAGTATAAGGAAAGCTCTTATTAGGGAAAAAAAAAAACTCAACAGAAGAGTTTTCCCCTCAAATAATTAAAAAAATTAATTTCTTTCAACCAATTTCTTCCTGGCTTCGGCTGTCTTATGAATATGCAAGTCAGCTGCTGATTTGTGATGCAGTTGTCAGGTGGCTATTGAAAAACTGCAGTTTCTTCTTCTGTTCCCTTTGTACCTCTGGTTTGGGACACAATGCACCTGATTCTCTTTCCTCCTCCCCTCTATTTTTGCCTTCTGTTGTTCTTAATAGATAAGGGAATTTCTTCTTTTGTGTCCCAAACCAGAGGTACAAGGGGAACAGTGCACCTGATTCTCTTTCCTCCTCCCCTCTATTTTTGCCTTCTGTTGTTCTTAATAGATAAGGGAAAGCTAAACCAGAGTAATGGGTTGTAGGCAACATTATGACTTGACTCTTTCACATCTACCAGTGATCTGAATCCATGTGTTTAAATCCTGCATCCACCCACACCCTTGAGTGAAGGGGAAAATGGGGCTGATGTGGAAGATTATAAATGAGGGGTTTTTCTAACAGAAAATCATTCTTCATCATGGGGGGGATTCAGGTCCTACTCAACACAGATTTTTTTTGTGTAATGGGGATGGGAGAGACATCCCAGAGAGATATAGAAAATTGAGCCCACAAAGCATCACCTCTCTTCATTACATCATCAAGGTCTTCTCTGTCCTTGCACAGCAGATCTGAGCCTTAAGTTGGCTTTGTGCTCTAGAGGAACCCTGTGAGCAGCTTCCCTTCCCTCTCCATGCTCTGAGATTCTGAATGACTATCCCACCGACTCCTCTAATGCAGGTGCAGCTCTGATCCTCCCTTCCCAAGAGTGTCCTGCCAGCTGCACACAGGACATCCACTGGTCAGGCTAAACACAACCTGTGCTGTTGACAACCTCCTTGTACCTGCCCAGACCTGCCTGGGTGAATGAGGAATTTTGCTCAAAGAGACTGATTTTACTCATCCTCACCCTCAGGCTGGGGCAGTTATAACCCAATTAAGAGCAATTATGATGTGGGTAATAGATGAGGCCAATTCTGACATGGCTCAGACCCAACACTTCTCTAACATATGTCATGCTTGTCTGACATGCTCAGGGGAGTTTACTAAAGCCTCAGGAGTCTAAGAGAACTTCTGCATCAGCTCAGACAACAGCCCTTTAGGTAGCACCTCCTGCCTCATCACAATCTTTGGGTGCATTCCAGTCTATAAATTGGGCTGCCCAAAGCAGTTACCCAGACAAAGGAGGGTGGATGAGCTCCCTCCTTGGAGAGAGCCAGCAGTGGAGATAGCTCCAGAAGGTCTTTCTCTGGATCACCTCTTGGATTGGGTGGATATCCTACGGAGTTCCTCTGCTGACCCATTGCTTTCTGCTCCACAGAGCTTAGGCACTTAACCTTCCCAGAGCTAAATAGTTTGAGAGGAAGGGTTTTCCTATTCCCCACTCTGTCACCTCTCTGGATGCTGTTCTGGATGACCTGATGAGAACCCCTCCTGCACTGTGGTGCAAAGACATGAGGCTCCTTGTCAATATAGTTCCACGTTTTTATCATTTCGATTTATTACTCCGCCCTCAGTGTTAGATGATGAGTTAGGACCCAAACCACCACTCCAGATGTTCTTACCCTTGACAGTAACAACAGCACTACTTTTAGCTGCTCCAGCCTCACACTCATATCTGCCACTGTCTCTTTCTTCTGCCCTGTGAATGACAAGCTTGGCTTCAAATCCCGACCGGCTGAGGTTATACTTGGAAGAATTCCTAAGGCTCTTCCCATCTTTGCACCACTTTACAGGGCTGTCTGATTTGGAGGTTTCACAGTGAAGGATCACATCCTCTCCCTCCGTGACTTCAGTATCAGCCAGCTCCTTTGTGAAGATGCAGGGCTCCTCTAGAATCACACAAAAACCATCTGAGATGTTTCAGAAGAGACGTGGCTTTTCAGAACACAAGTAATCAACAAGATTTACATTCGAGATTACTTGTCTCAAAACTACAAGTCAAGGTTAGTAACAAATAATTTGGTGCTCAGGACTATGAAGCCTTCAGGAAGGCACCACTCATGCCATCAAGTGTGGTTTAGTAAATGCCTAATGCCATCTGGGAGAACCTGAGAAGTCCACATCCCTGTTGAAGGACATAATACCTCGCTCTCCTTAAATAATACCTCTCCTTAAATAAGAACAAGGTGGAGGCACAACTTTCCTAAGCTCTTTTCCATGCAGGCTGGTTAGTTTGAGCCTCACAACTCAGTGTGGCAAAGTTAATTCTGCACAACGTGAGGTGCAACACAGATTTCTCAAAGCCAGTTATCTAGAACAGGCCTCATCTCATCAATATGAGCCTTCTAAAACCCAGGCAGATAGCTCACACTGGTCATGTTAGATGTCTTTGTATTTGCTGAAAGATGGCAGACACCTCCAGAGATCAGATAGTCACTTCCAAAACAGGCTATTAGAGGAGGTCAACTGCTCTCTGGATACACTTGTCTTTCTACACAGCTTGTAGAAGGAGCCTAAGGTAGATACCAACAGCTAAACTGGCCAAGGTAGATGTTATACCCCCTGGCTTAATGTTTTTTAATTCATTAAAATCCAATCAATCAGGAGACCCAAACCTGGGTTGGGTACTACAGCACCACATATGTTACCAACAGGAATCAGCCTTTTGCAAATAAGTCCTTTCTTTTGCCTTCAGAAGAAACTGGTTTTGCTTCTGCAGCATGGCAAAATTCCAAATTTGGGGAAAACCACAGTTCTTTTCAATAAAAGTGATTATTCTGAAAAGAATGAGAATATGATCTGACACAGTGGAGGCTGAGTAGATGAGGTGTTTAGGGACATGGTTTAGTGGTGGGCTTGGCAGTGCTGGGTCAGCTGTTGGACCTGATGATCTTAAAGGTCTTTTCCAACCGAAATGATGCTATGATTCAATTTTATGACTCTGTGCTTTACATCTCTGGGCAATGAGGAATATTTGTGTTTCCATTAAGAAACACCTCCCTGGTCCTGCACTCTGGGGCTGCCTGACATTCAGTTTTCCCCCTTGCTACAGAATTAGACTAACACTGAAGTTTTAACTCAGCTCAACTTTTCCAAATAAAACAATTCATTGTCCACGATGACCAGCAGAGAACACTCATAATGTTGCCTTTCAAACCATGAAAACTGAATTAAAAAGTTGATGGTTGCACCTTTTTATTCCCTTTCCCCCTTGAACTAACTGATTTCATTTATCACCACCCTATCAGCTCAGCTCAAGGAAAAATGGACGTGGCATTCAATGTACCATCACTACCTATAAAGTCCCCATCTAAGCCCCAATAAACTCTCTGAGAGTTGCCCAAGATTACAAAGAATTCATTCTCCAGCCCTAGCTTCATTAGATATTTAAGGCTATTCTTGAACATATACAGATACACATATGATGGGACTAATTTTTTAGCATTTTTGTTCTTTTTTTTCCACCTACCCACATTAACCCATACTTATTTCTATACATTCTTTCCTCTCCTGCAGTTTTTATGATTGATTTACCTTTAACAACCAAACTGGCAGTTGTTTTCTTATCACCAGCTTCAAATGTAATGACCCCCGAGTCCTTCAGTGAGAGTTTTTTCAACGTTAGCAAGTGATATCCACCAGGCTGAGACTGGATCTCATTAAGTTCATTGGTATGGAGTGGGGTTTTATCCAAAAACCACTGCACTTTGCTATAGTCTACAGGAGAGATTCTGCATTTGAACATGGCAGATTCTCCTTCTAACACAGTGACATCTTCCAGGTCTTCTGTTATTAGCACTTTCTGGCCTGAAAGGAACATAGATACATCAATTACTGGAACCTTCTGCTTCTAGAATGAAAATTGCTATGGAAAACACCAAGATTTCCCAAATATTTCATGAAAGAGCTATATTCACAATACAGAAGACTGAAACACAGTTCCCCTGGTATGGAACACAGAAACCATTCACAGAAAGATGGTATATACAGGACACACACCAAAAGAGGATGAGGACAGCTTGAAAGCATCAGAACACAGACAGCAGGACATGCAGCCAGAGCAATGAAAATTCAGTGTCATGAAGTTCCTCCTAATGGAGCTACCTGGGAAGGCTGAAAGGATGTGGCTCTGACAGCATCTCTAGGCAGCACTAAGCAGATGGTCCTTCCCATGACAAGCTCTCTATTTTTTCTAGAGCAAGTATAACTTGCTTCTTTGAGCAACCTTCTGTAGCTTTTGAGTAGAACCTTTGAGCTTAAGCCATCCATAAACACACTGAAAAGTGGAGAGAGTGTCTGGCTGCAGCTTTAGTGAATAGAAATAAAACAACAGCCCTGAAAACCTACCTGTTTAAATAAAAATAGACCTAACTATACACAAATAAAATAAGCTTATCACTGCATACAAAGATACATCTGATGTTGCTCCTGCTTACAAAACCAGTATGGGGTATTTTTACTTTTGACCTTTATGACAGAGAAGTATTTTTTTCACTCTGGAAAGCTGGTGCTAGAAACCCCACAGTGAATTCAGACAGCTCAGGCCCTGAGGCCATGGTGCAGATTAAGCACACTTCTTTGCTTCTCAGCGTTGCCCTAGCAGATGATCAGAGCTGGAGGAGTCTGGCTTTACCTCCTAATCTTCAATAACTAACTATAATAATGAAGGGGACACCATCACTGCATCTCCATGTGACTTTTCTTGATTTTTTTTTCTCCTATTCTCTTCACTGGTTCATCAATTTCAGCTCAAGGGTTTTGCCCAGAAGGGGCTCCAGCAAAGGAACTGAGAGGAACAGTAAGAACCAGACCTCTCTTCTTCCACTTCAACACTGCCCTGCTGTAGCAGTGGCCCCACAGCTCATTTACTGTCCTTAGCATCAGATAAAAGCTGCTGGGTTGTCCTCTTCATCTCTCAAGTGCAGAGGGACATTAAGTATTTACAGATTCCAGGACCACTCATTCACCCAGCCCCTCTAAGAAAGCACTACAGGAAAGAGGCATCTAGGGATAGGTCTTGGGAAGAGGGGCTGGAAAGCTGTCCAAGTGGAAAAGGACCTCTGGGTTCTGGTTGGCAGTCAGCTGAAGATGAGCCAGCATGTGCCCAGGTAGCCACGAAGGCCACCAGCATCCTGGCCTGGATCAGCACTGGTGTGGCCAGCAGGAGCAGGGCAGGGATTGTCCCCTGGACTGGGCACTGGGGAGGCTGCACCTCAAATCCTGGGGGCAGTTTTGGGCCCCTCACTCCCAGAAGGACCT